TCCCAGAAATTTGGGAGGCTGAGGCAGGTGGATCACTTGAGCCCAGGAGTTCAAGACCAGCCTGGGCAACGTGGTGAAACCTGATTTCTACAAAAAAATACAAAAATTAGCCAGGTATGGTGATGTGTGCCTCTAGTCCCAGCTACTCAGGAGGCTAGGTGGAACGATTGATTGAGCCCAAGAGGCAGAGGTTGCAGTGAGCCAAGGTCGTGCCACTGCACTCCAGCCTGGGTGACAGATCCAGACCTTGTCTCAAAAGAAAAAAAGAATCTTAAGATCATCTTAGATTATCCAGACAGTCCCTAAATTCAGTGACAAGTGTCCTTCTAAGAAACACTCAGAAGGGAAGACACAGAGTAAGCGACGTGAAGATGGCGGTGCAGATGATAGTGCTTCGCACAAGCTGAGGGACACCAAGGAATGCCCAACAACCCCCAGAGGCTGCAGGAGGCAAAGAACGGATTCTCTCCTAGAGCCTTGGGAGCCACTGTGGTGCAGCTGACACCTCAATTTTGACTTCTACCTTCTAGAGCTGTAACAGAATGTTTGTTGTTTTAAGCCACAAGTTTGTGATAATTTGTTACAGTAGCCACAGGAAACTAATACACTGGCAGACACCGCCTTATGATCAAAGCAAACCTCCTCAGTAATGAAACAAATCCAAATCATGCATGGTGGGGGTGGTGTGTGCACCTGTAGTCTCAGCTACTCAGGAGGCTGAGGCAGGAGGATGACTTGAGCCCAGGAGTTCAAGGCCAGCCTGGGTGACATAGTGAGACTCTGTCTCGAAAATAAAATAAAAATAAAAATTGAGCCAGGGCTGGGCACGGTGACTCACACCTGTAATCCCAGCACTTTGGGAGGCTAAGGTGAGCAGATTATGAGGTCAGGAGTTAGAGACCAGCCTGACCAACATGGTGGAACCCTGTCTCTACTAAAAATACAAAAATTAGCCGGGCGTGGTGGCACACTCCTGTAATCCTAGCTACTCAGAGGCTGAGGCAGGAGAATTGCTTGAACCTGGAAGGCAAAGGTTGCAGTGAGCCTAGATCGTGCCACTGCACTCCAGCCTGGGCAACACAATGAGGTTCTGTCTCAGAAAAAAAAAAAAAAATTAGCCAGCATTGTGGCTCATGCCTATAATCCCAGCAATTCAGGAGGCTGAGGCAGAAGGGTCACTTGAGCCCGGGAGTTCAAGTCTTCAGTGAGGTGGGATTGCACCATCACACTCCAGCCTGGATGACAGAGCCAGACCCTGTCTCTTTCACTCTCTCTTTTTTTTCTTTTGAGTCAGGGTCTGGCTCTGTCACCCAGGCTGGAGAGCAGTGGTACAATCTTGGCTCACTGCAACCTCTGCCTCCCAGGTTCAAACCATCCTCCCCACCCTAGCCTCGTGAGTAGTTGGGCCTACAAATATGTACCAAACCTAGCTACTTTTTCTATTTCTAGCAGAGACAAGGTTTCCTCCTTGGCCTCCCAAAGTGCTGGATTACCGGCATGAGCCATCACACCTAGCCCTGAGATCCCGTCTTTTTTAAAAAAGAAAAGGAACAAAACCAGGCAGGCATGGTGGCTCATGCCTGCAATCCCAGCACTATGGAAGGCCAAGGTAGGTTGATCACAAGGTCAGGAGTTCAAGACCAGCCTGACCAAGATGGTGAAACCCCATCTCTACTAAAAACACAAAAATGAGCAGGGTACAGTGGCAGGCACCTGTAATACCAGCTACTAGGGAGGCTGAGTCAGGGGAATGGCTTGAATCCAGGTATCGGAGGTTGCAGTGAGCTGAGACTGTGCCACTGCACTGCTGCCTGGGTGACGGAATGAGACTCTATGTCAAAAAAAAAAAAAAGGAAAAAAATCATGCATTATTTGAAGGATGAAGACAGGGGCTCAGCATTGCTTCTTTGACATTACTGCCAAAGATGGATAACCTAAATCTTATCATGAGGAAACACCAGAGAAACCCAAATTGAGAGACCTTCTATAAAATAACTGGACTGTAACCTTCAAAAGTGTTTAGGTCACGAAAGTCAAGGAAAGGCCGAGCTAGTCCAGATTGAAGGATACTAAAGACAATTTCAATGAGTAATTCTGGACAGGATCCTTTTGCTATAAAGGACATTATTGAAACAACTGCCAAAATTTGAATAGGATCTGAAGATTAGATGGTATTAATGTATTTATGTTAATTTCCTAATTTTGATGGCTATACTATGATTATGCAGGAGACTATCCCTTGTAGGAAATACACACTAAACTATTCGGGGTGATGGGGCATCCTGTTGACAATGTACTCAAACAGTTCAGGGAAAACAGTCCTGTGTAATGTACTTCCAACTTTTCCTGTGGTGGCTTCAAAATAGAATCTTTATTAAAAGATAAAGAAAAAAGGGCTAGGCAGGGTGGCTCATGCCTGTAATTACAGTATTTTGGGAGATCAAGGTGAAGAATCATTTGAAGTCAGGAGTTTGAGACCAGCCTGGCCAACATGGTGAAACCCCATGTCTACTGAAAATACAAAAATTAGCTGGGTGTGGTGGCATGAGCCTGCAGTCCCAGCTACTCTGGAGGTTGAGACACAAGAATGGCTTAAACCTGGGAGGCAGAGGCTGCAGTGAGCAGAGATTGTGCACTGCACTCCAGCCTGGGCAAAAAATAAAGAAAAAGAAAAAAAAGATACCAATCATATAAATGATTGCATATATATATGCGTATTGTCAAAGACTGGAAGGCAAATAGACTGGAAGGAAATTCATAACAATAATATAATTAATATTAAGGAGGTAGGATTGTTTGTAACAGTCCTATGCTTTCAAATATATATATATATATATATTTCTTTAATTTCAGTGTTAGGGTCTCATGCTGTTGCCCAGACTAGAGTGCAGTGGCCTGATCATAGCTAACTGCAGCCTTGAACTCTTGGGCTCAAGAGATCCTCTCACCTTAGTCTCCTGAGTAGCCAGGACTACAGGCATGCACCAACATGCCTGGCTAATTATTATGATTTTTTTTTTTTGATAGAGACAGGGTCTTGCTGTGTTGCCCTGTCTGGTCTCAAACTCCTGGCCTCAAGAAATCCTTTTGCCTCAACCTCTCAAAGTGCTGGATTGTAGGCATGAGATACTGTGCAGCCCTGACCTTAAATCTTTTAAGTTTAGTTCAGTAAGTATGTGCTGAGGACCTGCTATGTGGCAGGCATTGTGCCAGGTCCTAGGGATACTGAAAAAAGTCACAATGCTGGCATGCAGTCTGCAGGAGAGAAAACCCTGGGATAAGGATGAGTGCTGCTGGATGCTGAGGACAAGAGACACCTCACCCCAGTGAGGGTGCAGAGGGAAGGGTGCTTCAAATAGGCACTCTTGCTCTTCTGTTAAGAATAATAATACTGGCCGGGCGAGGTGGCTCAGGACTGAAATCCCAGCACTTTGGGAAACCAAGGCTAGTGGATCACAGGATCAGGAGATCAAGGCTATCCTGGCTAAGATGGTGAAACCCCATCTCTGAAAATACAAAATTTTGAGTTTGAGTCTAGCCTGGGCAATATAGCAAGACCCCATCTTTTTTTTTTTTTTTTTTTT